ATCCTGTATCGTATGATACAATGTTGCGGCTTGGTAAACGATAAGTTCGATGATTAAATTACGAAACATTATATAGAATCCGATTAGTATTTAATTAGAGATAGCGAGGGATTGGATTACTGTGTGTCTACTCCTTGTTATAATGTAACAACACGAAGATTAAAAGACAATTACAATGTGATATCGATTTAAATATAGCGGCGAGTTAATTCTGGAGTTGATCGATCGACTGGGAGAATCATTTATTCATTTTTATTGAACTTATCTCGATCTTTGTGTGCAATTGATCTTATTGTTAGTCATAGCGCGGAGGGGAAGCGCGCGATGGCCGAGGGCTGAGGGACAATCATTTTGCTCCTTTTGTCTGTCATCGTATGTATGCGCTTAAAGGCTAATGTACAACGAATCAGATTCCCGAAGAAAATCGTCTTCGTTAATTCTTTAGTTGCAAACGTATACGAATTGAGATACATTTGCGAAGCAAAATTTTAATACTTCTCGCACTATGTTAATTTATGACATTTTATTGTTAGTTTGCCGATTGAATAAAAGATTATAATTGATGCAACATATTATAATTGCTGCAATTGTAACACACACACACACACACACACACCCGCGCGCGCGCGCTCTTACGATGCAATTTGTATTTCGTTATATATATATGTATGCAAATTCTATACATTTATTCAATATTTTACGATGAAATTTATACCGAGAAAAATGAACGTAAGATCATATTATATGCAGCGCGTTGTATGAAATAAAATTTTGTTTGGCTACAAATTGATAATAAAAGTAAATAAAATTATTTTGTATGTAATACAAAATGGTAAACGCAAGCTGCGTTCATATATACACTGCCGCCATGTTTTTCCAAAACTAACTCGAATGGGCAGACCATAGACATAGTATATCTAGACCGAGTGTTGAGGAGTGGGGGCCAAGGTGCACGTAGAAAAGGACATACTCTGTTCCGTGCCCCTTGCATTAATTGTTAATTTTGATCAATTTATTTCATTATCGTATAATCTTTTGGCAGTATAATCATTGCCTCCCGCCATCATTGTATAAACTATATGTATCGATGGCGGTGCTCGACGCCGGTCATCGAAAATACATGCATGCTCGCCTATTGTATCAGAAATCAGATTTTTCGTAATAATATTAATAATAACACGAATCTTCAATTCGTGTTAGAGGTAGAAGCGCAGTTCCGCGAATATTAAAAATATTCTGCTCTTATAGTATCACGCGTACGTTCGTACGATGAAGAGCAGTATAAGCACAACAAACGTCGGAATAAGCATTTTTAGATGTCGTCGCGTGAAGCGTGACTCGCGATTTTCGACGTGATAAAGAGTACTCACATCATGTTCCATCTTCACCATTTTGAGGGACCTGGACAGGATTGCGGGCCTCCTGATACGAGAAGAAAGACGAGAAGAACCGAGGCGCGGAAACGTCGTTATTATTGCGACGACACGCGAACGATCGATCACAATTCCCTGCGCATACTCGCGTGAACCCCGGACTACGGAGCCTACGAACCGTGATCCGTGATGAGCAGTGAGGAGTGAGGAGCAGTGAGGAGTGTTGGTGAATTGGTGTTGGGGGAATGAAGCAACGGAGTGGAGAGGGAAGAGAGACTACTTGAGTCAACGCTAACCACGAACCGAACAGGCTAATCAATGCCGGGTTTTTCGCGCCTGCGCTGCTCGTCCGTAAACAATTTAATAACAATTTTCTACATGTTTTTAAATTTTTGATTTCTATGCGTTTTCTGTAATAACTTTTCTCTTTCGCAACGTTAAAATTTCTTGTATACAAATATGCATAGACATAGTATATCTAGACCGAGTGTTGAGGAGTGGGGGCCAAGGTGCACGTAGAAAAGGACATAACTCTGTTCTGTGCCCCTTGCGTTCTCTCTCACTCGCATGTAGCATAGCGAAAGAGTACGCTATGCTACGTGCGAGCGAGAAAGAACGCCAGGGGCACGAAACAGAGTATGTCCTTTTCTACGTGCATCTTTACCCCCACTCCTTAAATAAAGGCAAACGCTCGGTCTAGATATACTATATGTCTATGGGCCAGACTCTATCTTCTAGTTAAGCCCTTATCAGACTACATATTGAAGATCGAGATTGAAGATTAAAGATTGAAATTTGACCACTCAGGGCGAAGAAATTTTAGTTCCTTTCCTTCTGATTAGTCAAATTTTAATTTTTAATCTTCGATCTTCAATTTTCCATGCGTAGTCTGATACGGGCTTTAGGGACTCTAACCGAAACATCAGTGCCGCGCCATCTGATGTCGGCGTGTTGAATTACACAACACGGTCTGTGGTCGTGTATCGTATGGTTTGTCGTCCGTTGCCGCTCCGTGTCGCTTGCGTGCGTCAGTGCGTCCCCGCACCAGTGATGCCAGAAATGGGTCCCGCGGCTCACGGCTCAGCAATGGAAAGGGTAACGCATCCAAGCGCGAGCCGCGTACATGTGACACATGTACGCGGTTAGCGCTTGTGTGCGTTACCCCTTCCATTGCTGAGCCGTGAGCCGCGGAGCCCGTTTCTGGCATCACTGACCCGCACCCGTACGTCGGGTACGTCGTCACGTCGTTCAACATTATCATCGTCGTCATCATCGTCGTAATCGTCGTGGATATTTTGTCGTCTACTCTGTTTTCTCTCGCGTGTATTGCTTGCTCCGTAACGTCCGTCGATCCGCATTGACGCAAGGTAAAGTGCAAACAGGACGATCGCGTCTCTCTCGTCATGGTTCTTGTTTGATTTTATGCCAATTTCGTGTCGCTTCCACCGACGAAGATAAGCGTCACCTTCCCGTGTGTATCTTCGCGGTTACCTTATTCGGTAATCAGGTGTACGCGCGATCCTCGCGAAGGAGTCCGCGCTCGTATGCACGTATGCATGTAGATACATATGTTCTGGCTTGACGCTTGACGCGTCATATGTCATATGTTGACGCGTGTGTCGAGCGAGAGATGCGAGTGTCAATTCATGATTGGGTCGTGTGAAACCCAGAGTGCTCTTCCCATGTATGTCTTTTTTTTTTCCTTTTTAGAGAGAAAAAGTAAAGCATATATAAATAGAAAAACTCATGAGAAACACAATTATTTGTTTCATATACATATGATCAAAGTCAAAGTTTTTACTTCCTTAAGTGAGGAGCACTTTATTGGTTAAAGGTGAATAAAATCTTGTTGAACAAAACAGTATAATTTTTAAAGCTTTTGTTTGTTTATATATATATATTTATCAAAAAATTCACACATTTGTGTGTGCGTGTGCGTGTGTGTGTGCGCGCGCGCGCGTGGGTGTGTGTGTATAATACTCTTGCAAGGCAATTTAATTTTATATGTTTGTGTAAACTCTATATATATCTTTTTTAATATTAATAAAGAAAATGTATAGAGTAAATATTACAGAAAAGTGTGTGTAAATCAAAACAATACTTAAAAAAGAAATTAATCTAATTATTTCTGCTTGAAAATTGTTTTCAGAAACTGAAGTAATTATTAACGATTGTGTCGTCTGCCAATAATACTTGCAATTAATAATAACACTTGTAAATCTTTTATAATTTAACTGTTGTGCTTTAAACATGTTGTTGTTAGGAAATGGCTGGAGATATATCTGAATTAACACATTATAAATATGTTGGTCCAAGAATTCTTTCTCCTAAAATGCATCAACCACGGATTCAGGAAGATAGATTTGAGGAGCCTGAAATACGTTTATCGCGGTTTTTATACGTTGGAAAGGAATATGCCAACTATCAGCCTGGATATTGGTTTGTTCATAATTATTTTATAATTAAAAATGTTCCATCTATAGAAGAACTTGCCAGCAATGAGGAAAAGCAACTGGTACCCATAGAACTAATCATAAAAGTAATTATTAGTACAAATTGTACATAATGCGCATCAAAAAATATTTATTCCTATATCTAAGATGAGACTGTTTGTAGGCATTTGAGAGCAATCTTGTTCCACATCCAGAAACTTTGGTATTTGCTCTCGCTGTTTGCTGCAGGCAAAACAAGAGCGAGATGTTGCGTAACGTGGCGTACAATAATGTAGCAAAGATCTGTGCGTCTACACAGGACTTCATCTTGTTTATTAAATTTGTCTCCAAACTGTGCAGGGAGAAAGAGTTGAATTTTATTACGCAAGGCTGGGGTCAAGGTTTGAGGAAGGCTATTAACAATTGGTATCTTTCTAAAGAGCCATTGGACCTAGCAAAATGTGTCACAAAATACAAAAGCAGATATGGTTGGAAGCATAAAGACATTGTCAAGATGGCTCATCCTTCAACCAATAGTCCAGGTAAATGTCCACAAAGCCTTGATTTACAAAAGATTGATAAGAAAAATTGTTATGAAAGAAAAATTAGTAGTGAAAAATGACAAGTGAATTCACTGTTCAATGTTGTAAATTCAATGCTTTTGCCATTTTTTGAGATTTACCAATCTCTTTTGAGATAACACGTACAAATTTATTCTTATTATTTTTTTATTTATGTTTTTACTTATATATAATTTTAATTGATACAGATGATTCTAATTAGATTCCAGTGTAATGACAATTACTAAAAGTTGTCTAAGAATTAATGGTTAAGATAACTTGTAGATGTTAACAGATAACTTATATGCAGTGAAATTACATTATATTGTGATTGATGGTTATAGCTATTTATCGGTAGTATAGAAATGTTACTTAGGCAAGTTAATTATTTAATAGAAAAAGGAGTGATACTGAAATATATAATACACGGCATGGAAAAGACCAAAGCAGCTTTGGAGGACCAATCCGAGAATCCAAATATTAACGAAATACTGAAATACCTACAAAATATAGAAGACTTCAAACATTGTGAAGATGAAGTCCGAGCAGCTGCTCTACTGGAAAGATATGGATACTCACTACAGCACGTACCTGGACATTTGCTAAAATCCAAGGAGGTAAAGTGCTTCAATCTTCTCTCTCTCTCTCTCTCTCTCTCTCTTTCTCTCTAATTATAGAAAGAAATTATAAAAAATTAAAGAATTATATAGAAAAATTGGTTCAAAATTTGCATAATAAAATATATGATCTCTCTCTCTCTCTCTCTCTCTCTCTCTTTCTCTCTAATTATAGAAAGAAATTATAAAAAATTAAAGAATTATATAGAAAAATTGGTTCAAAATTTGCATAATAAAATATATGACTAAAAACAAGCACTTATTTTTTAATGCTATGTAAACGGAAAGAAAATTTTGTTTATCACGATTAGCGTTAATCGATATTTATCAAGCATCGATGGGCTAACATAACGTCTGGCTATTTCGTATCAAGGTTTGGAATTCATTGATATCGTCAATGGATACCATTACACTCTTAAACAATCTGCAAAGGATTAGCAATCTTGGATTATTAGAGTCGGATGGATTGGTAGTCGAGAAAGTAACGGAGCAGCTCACTAATGCAGAACATATAGCGCAAAGTAAAATTCATCCAGCATCAATTTACATCACTTTAAAAAATTATGAAAATTGTGGAAAGTAAGTGCATTTGTGCGCCTTTCTATGGGTGAAAGATTAGACTTAAGATTATACCACTTATATGTATATATATTTTCAAGACCTGTAAGTTACGAGAAGCGAAAAGTCCAAGAATCAGCAAAGAAAACTCTTCCGCCCGTACCTTATCCGAATATCAAAGTAGTAAACACTCTACGCGAAATGTTTGATTTGTCATTTACTGTAAGTCAATTTCTCTTATAGGTTGCATTGCGATACTTGTGAAAGTTCAGTTTAATTATAATCTTATTATTATTATAGTTATTAATATAATAACAATACCGTTACATCATTTTTAGCATCAACAACCCACGAATTTGCGCTACCTAGTGACAATTGGCATGAACAAGCCGATGTTGGAAGGACGTGCTTGGCAGAACGCTAACATGACTGGCGCCGAGACGGGCTGTCTGATCGCGATGATGCTTTTACGTTGCGAAACGAATGTTACCGTAGCGACGTTTAAGCACGTTGGAGTTTACACGGCAGACGTCGACAAGACGCAATCCTGCAGCGACATTTTGACGACATTAAAGAAAATACCAGTTGCAGGTATTAATCTGAGTAAACCCATATTGTGGGCCATGAAGCAAAAGACGAAATACGATATTTTTATCAATGTTGTGGATCAAGTGTATGAAAAGTATGATGAATCTCAGAAAGCCCTCATATCGTACAGAGATGAACTGAAACATCCACAGGCAAAGTAGATGCACATTTTTATTTATTGCATGAATTTCTTAAATTTTAAAAACGGATAAAGACGCGAAATCTTCTTTTTACAGGCTGATTAATTGCAGCATATGCTGTTCCTCAACATATCGTAAGATAAATTGTGACAAAAATATCTTAACAATTAACGGTTTCGACGCTACCGTACCTATTGTCATCCAGGCGTTCTCCCAATCTTTGTTTTAAATGTGAACACACATTAAATCTTTATTCGTAAGTATCATCGATTTACAAAAGATCGTGCGCGCGTTGATTGCACCTCTATATTGTACTTAAGCAGAAAATTCTTCGAAATATTTTTTTTCAATAGGATATGATGCAAGAAGTCGAGCAAAGAAAGGGAGTTTATTCTCTTAAAGCATATTTCGATACAAAAGTGCAGTAATACATTGTTTTGGCAGTTTTAAAAGCCGATTATAGTGAGATTATACTGATTTTTCTTCAAAATCGAGTCAGACTGACAGGAAAACTAATGTGATGAATAGAGATGAAGGAAAGTTGCAAAAAGAGCTTTCATCAATTACTTAAAACAGTGGCAAATTTTGAAGTCTCAAACTATCTCGCTTTTTTTACAAGTTCCGAACATCGGCTTGTATTTGCATATACATAACTGAATCAAATTGTTTAATTTTGCCATCTATTAATTCATTTAAGATCTAACAGAGAGATAATACATTTTGAACGTAGAGTTACAGAGTATTGCAAGTGAACAATGAAGATTGTCGAGAACATACCGCGAGTAGCGCCGTGTACTATTATTGGCGCGTGACAATGATATTAAAATTATCTATTACATGTTCTTAGTGTTAGGGAACAGCTGTGTAGTATTTTCCTTTTTATGTGTAAAAAAAATCAAGTATTTTTTTACTCCGGATTTGGATTTTCGACGATAATACTACTTAAAGTAACTCGGCGATTTTATTTTTAGCGAACATTGGCGCGCGATATCGCATCAATTCGATAATCGTATAAGCAATATATAGGTCAGTTACACATACTTTTTTATTAAGCTGTTGCATATGAAATCTTGTTTTTTATATTTTATTTTATTTTAATAATATATTTGAAATTTGTAAGTACTTTCTTTTTTCTCTCTCTCTCTCTCTCTCTCTCTCTCTCTCTCTCTCTTTTTTTTTCCCTCCCCTGAAACAAGTTGAAATCTTACATTATCATTTGCTGTAAAATTGCTATCAAGGACATGTTACATCGAAGATATTGCTGCTTTTCTCTGTTTTTTTTTCTAGTATTTATAAAGAGAGAGGCAGATACAAAAGATTGTTTGAATCTGAGTTAAATTTAACTTAAACTTTACTTAATTTTTATTTTTATGAGAATGATCGAAAAGAACATAGATATACCGTTACTTAGCTTCAAAGATATTTTTGTGATGTAAGACATTTTAAAAATATCCGAAAGTTTTATATGCAACTGCAATAATCTTTGAAAAAGAAAGAAGTACAATTCAATAGTCCTATGTTCCATAATAGTGCATTATCAGAGACACACTACGCAGCGAAAAGTTAGTTATAAGACTGTACAGCGGATACGGAAACGCGTATCTTAAGTAACATATGGTGCATTTTTTGACTAATATGATAAAGAAAAAGAAAAATCTTATACTCTCTAATATTATATTACGCTCTAATATTATATTGCTTGCTTAATACTGGTTGCCGGTTTACGCTTCTTTGTAATAACGTGCGCGTATCGATAACGTGATCTTATTAGAAAAAACAGAAAAAAGAAACAAAAGTGACACGCTTCTGGTAACCGGTGCGCTTCTGGACAGTTAAAAAATAATAATCTAAAATAAGTAAAACTAAAAAGACAAAAAAAAAGAAGAAAGCGAAAGAGAGAGGCGAACGGTGATGAACATAGGAACGTTGAAAATTTTCCCACTGTGATACGCATTTAGCCCCAAAGAGTTATAGACTTACATTAGTATAATTTTACTGTTACTATCTCATATTTGCCATATCCAAAGTGAAGACAAGCGAGAGACAAATACTAAATACACTACTGAATAATATACTGTGATACGAGATACATTGTTGTTGTTCAAACTAGGGAAATGATATTTAAGGCAACGCGGCCCAGAAGCGCACCGCATTTTATTATATTTGTTGAATTTTAGTCGCTATGCGCGAATGAATTAACGCGTGAATTTTCTGTTGAAAATTCTGTACCATATCTTTCGGCAACGAGCTCTTGATCTACGAATTATCGTCTCGGGTTTTCCCCTTTCGGGTTTTCGCGTATGAGAAGCATATGTACCTCCTTCATACCTGATTGCTAAAAAGTACAGCGTGGATGAACATTCTCAGGTCTCTGAAACAAATTTCAATTAAGTGCTTAACTGTTCACCTGTTCTTTGCAGCTGTCTTCTTGATAATCTGTGGATCAAAAGCTATCAACAGCAATCAACGAATGAATTCTATTTCAATACAACAATGTTTTGGATAGAATGTATAAGTAAATTTGTCTCTTTTAAACGATTTTAAGCACTTTACTTTCCTAATGAAAATAAAATCAAATTCTAGTTAATTCTCTAAAGATTGAAGTCACACTTTTTTGCCAAATTAGGCAAAAAGAAAAAGAAATTGATTTTTTATTGTTGATTGTTGAAAAAGTTTTATCCATACATCACATTGAGAAATTAATTAGCGATAAACTAAGTTTCAAAAAAGAAAAAAGAAGGAATGGAAAACCGATTCTTTCTATCAATATTTTATCAAAACTTCTATGTATTCAATTCAAGATACGTTATATGCAACGATTAAAACATATATAGAAATTTCTTATATAGAAATTTTAAACAAAATTACGTGTTTATGACTCGATGAAAGAAAACCGTTATAAATTTATTGGTAAGGTTCGTATTTCTCAAAAGAAAATTCACACAAACGATTGTTAATCTCGGTTGTGCAGCGTTTTACCGAGAATTTTGTAATAAATTATAATTTATCGAAAGTATTTATCTTGTACTTTTACACATTATTTCTAAACTTGGTGTTTTGTGAGCATTGCGCTCAGAGAAATTATTTATACATTTATTGCGCGCGCACGCACGCACACACACACGTGTCTAAATCGTTTAATGTTCGGTGGGAGAATTTCTAGCGCATTTTTACGAGATAACTTCGTGGCGCGAGAGCAAAAAAAAGATCTGTTTTCGAAAAACGAAACGCGTCTATAGTTACTGAAACGCGAGTTTAAGGATAATATACACGCTACGATCATATTAGTAGCTCAATTGTATTCACTGGCATTAGCGAGTAGGCATTACATAGTATTTGTATATGTATGGGAGTGCGTCTCGCGATCGGGAAGGATTTCGTCTTTCAAGGGCTGCGTCTTCTTTTTTACAACAGACATTTATAATAATCAACCAATTTAATTCTAAACTCAATCGCTAATAGCAATCTTATCATAGTACAATCAGATCTCTTCTATAATCGGATATGTATAATCGTGTGTGTATATACAATATATTACAAAATTATATTAATTATAATATTAAATTTAGCTATAGAGCATTCAATACTTGAAGGCAGAGTGTCATGAGAAATTCGAAAAATATCTCAGAATCGATCCTTCCCGCTTGCGGTGTGCACGCAAATATATGTATTCATTAATATTATTATATAAGAATACGTCCGCGAAGTATATGATATATAGACTGGCGTATATGAAGGAAGAAAACGGAGAAGAAAAGGAAAAAAAAAGAAGAGAAAGCAGTAGTATAGCCAGAACTTGAAGGGAATCACTTATCCACGCTGTTATTTCACAGTCCAGTTGATTTCGGAAGTTGCGCTGTGCAATTAAACACGAAGAAGGAAACAATATGTTAAATGTGTTCATGATAGATGAAGAAAAAAAGATATTTGACGCGTAAAGAGAGAAGAATGAGCGGAAAATAGAAATTCTGCATTACGTAGTTATTATAAAACGGTGATGGAGAGGGAAGAAGAGGATGTAACGAGATGAATCGCGGGACATATGTGTGGCACCAAGTGCGATATACGACGTCTCGGATCATTACTATGTTCTCTAAGCGGGAACAAGTCAGCTTCCTTGCCGAAGACGATCCTCTGAGGTTCCGGATCTAATTTCAATTGATTTCGACCAGGAAGCACACACACATGAACGTACTTTATCCGATTCGTAAGCATTACAGGCATCATTACCGTCTCGAGGCAAATACCTTTAGTATTCGCAAGTCTGCGTAGGACTAAAGAAAACACTGTGAAGAGATATATATTCATACTCGTTAAGGTAGGTAGGTATCTTGAACTCGTTGAAAAAAGATTTATATCGCTCGCTAAATTAATTAATAATTTCGTACATTAATGATTTGTTAACCGAAGGACTTCCATTTTTAATTTCATTCTCTTTTCTTTTTTATTTTCGATCCTCTATCAGTCATATGCAGACTTACGTTTGTGACTAATATAAGTATACACAAGTACGAAAATAATACATCATGTTCCTTAGGATTATACATATTGTATATGAAAGACAAAGTTTATAATTCCATAATTAGTACATTGTCGCTTCAACGATCTAAGAAGAATCTAGAAAAAAAGAAAAGTGCTCAATACCCGTTGTTCGAAGCTTTCGATGCAAATGCCAAAAGTATGAAGAAAAAAAGAAAAGTGAAATCTCTCGAAGAACGGCATATATATTCAATTCTACATGTACAAAAACCGCAATGAAATACCTCGTTACCTTGTTCTCAGTGTAAAATAGTAAGAGCGAATTGTACTAACTTTGCGAGTTACGACGAAAATTGTCCTTCTCGTTGTTCGTGATTCACGCACTGAACGCCTATGTCTTTTGGCCTTACCTTTTTACATACAGAAAGAAAAATCCCAAGTAAAGGCGAAACAAATCGATTCACAGGCGAATAATACCGTCGTTCACTTCAGCTGCTGCCTGTTCAGTGGATTTATGTTAAACGTTTTACACGTTTCGGCATCTCTGAGAAAAAGAGCTTTGAGATTCTTGAGAAACATTCCCCCCGTGTGTATCTCTTAACGTGTATTATTGTATAATCATCATAAAAAAATTACCTTTACAGCGCGAACGTTAATTAAAAATGCTATTCTTACGGCCAACCATCTTTCTTCCCACATATGCTATCAAAGGGATGTGTGTCATAAAAAAAAAAGTAGAAAATATTTTTCAACAATCTCAAAACTTCTTTTCAGATTTTTATGCGTGTATATTAATTTTGCAACGCCCGGAATTATATCGCTGCGAATTGACTTCTCGACTTCTTCTCGTTCTCGTTTTCGTTTTAAGGATAGTATTATTATTATTATTATTATACGTGTACAGATTGCACAATTCGTAAAGCGATATTATTCGGTGATTTGGAAACTGAAGTAAGAGGAATTGTCGTACACATGCTGTGTGGAAAAAGTTTCAAAATTAATCTGTACAACAGGTGAAAACTTTGAGGAAATTATTTGCCGTTTTTAATTCGCAAATTAACGATTTTTTCGTAATTTTTAAGAATTAGTCTGCAGTGTCGTGCGATAAATTACATTTTAAACGAATAAAATGAGATGTGTAGCTGAATAGCATGATATCGCAATAATTAAATTGAAATTATTCTATTTATTTTTATCGCGTGAACAACACTTGATTGCGATTGTGATTATTCCGCGATATCAAATCCTCGAAATGTTGTAGCGTTTACTTTCGTAAAAAAAAAAAAAAGTAGGCAACAACTGTTTGGATCGTAATTCAAGATCGCAAAACTTTTCCAACACAGCTATAAATTCCCCATTCTATCGATATTATTTTTGTATCTAAATAAATTCGTGAAAAATACGTAAGCGCCTAGTATCTTGTTCCGAGTGAATTAATGTGTTCGGAAAGTTCCATTCGGAGGAGCGAATTATGTTATCATCATCGTGTCTGTTAATGGTTGTATTCTGATATGCAAAATAGGAGCGAAAGAATTTATATTAAGTAAGAAACTGATTATGTCTATACAAACTCCGTGCTGTTTTTGTTACACATCATTAAAAAATTGAACGTCATTAAATAAATTTCTCAGAACTCAAAAGGATCTTTCACTTTATTTACTGTATCGACAAATCGATAGAATAATTAGAATAGATTAGAAGAGCTTCGATTAATCTGAAATGGACCTTCTTCCTCTAGCAAGAAAGGATCACCGATAATTTGTACAAGAGTTTTGGAAAAACTATTAACATTTATGTATGACCGAACGGATATCAAGCTCTAAGAAACTTTCTAAAGACTATAAACAACATTCGCGTGTCACCTTTGCACGTATATCGCGTTTGAAGATATATAGATAGATATAGGTAATGGAAAATTTTAAATATTTTGATAAATATTAAAGAATGTTTGTACGGTTTACTGAAAAAAATCTTTATTCTTACGATATTGATACATGTTTGCGCTCACACACGTAGAGACTGGGCTACATTGTACACAGTACGATGTAACTCGATGGCAGTATACGAGTTACAAGCCCGTGCGCGTATCCGCGCATTCACCATTCACTCTCTCACGCATACTCGCGAACAAACCTTTAACGCGCTTTGCTCCGCGATTAATCGATTATCATTATTACACTTAATGGGACATACAAAACAACTCGAAATAAATTAACGACGCAGTGGAGTCAATGTATGTGTATGTGTGTATGTGTTTGTCGCGGGGGAGGAATGAGCAGAGCGTCGGAAAGATCCCTCCCCCGGCCCTCTTACGCCAGGTTGTTCTCCCTCCCTCTCTCTCTCTCTCTCTCTTTCTCTCTCCATCGAGAGGGTTAAATTCCTCCTTAGCAAACACAATACAGAGACTGGCTGACGATGATTTCCATACGACAATACCTTCGTTCCTATATTGGCATCGTACAATTCAAAATCGAACGAGTCAAGCGCAATCGAATGAAGCACAATAAAACGAAATCTTCAAACAACAATGTGTATTGCACATATCTCTAAATTTGCATACATCATTAAACTTTCGTTTTATTATAATCCGATCGAGCGCGGAGTTCTCTCGTCCGCATCTTGTATGTACATAGTCGAGCGATCAATTTACAACGCAAGATAGAATTGCTCATTCAAAGAAAAGGCGAGACGATGTTAGGACCGATATAAACAATTATTAAAATTTTCTATATATTAATAAATATTTAACGTATTTATAACGTATATTTGTCCAAGTACTCTTACGTGGAGTGTACGAAAAATCCGACGAGACATCCCGGCATCCTCAGCACTTTCTCGCACTTTTCTTAAATGTACATTGACGATTTACAACAAAGACTCGTATATTTCTCACTGCACATTTAGCTTCAAATGTCTTTCTAACCTAAGTGTCTTAAATTTTAGATATGCTACACATTATCTAGGGGAAATTTAGAGAACCAGACAGTCACACTTTTAAAGCTAAACGTACGGTGAGAACCGTATCCATCCCTTTCTCAGCTTTTCGTAATTATTGTGTATTAACGACACTTCTGTAAAGTATTTGCTCGTGGAGGCGAGTAATCAGTCCAAACCGCGAACCGAAGGGAGCGGGATCGGCGGCTTGCAGTTAAAGCTCGTCCTTGACATCTTCATCGTCACCGCCGCTGGTAGGTGGGACACCGCCTGCGCCCTGATACAACTTGGCGATGATCGGCTGAACGATATCGCTAAGCTCCTTCTTTTGTTTCTTGTATTCTTCTGGATCGGTGTCCTGATTCTCCTCCAACCACTTGATCTTCTCCTCGATCGCTTCCTCCATCGTAGTCTTGTCCGCATCGCTCACTTTCGAACCGAGCTTTTCCTTGTCGGCCAATTGATTCTTGAGCGAATACGCGTACGACTCGAGCTCATTGCGCGCTTCCACTCGCTCTTTAAGCTTCTTATCGTCATCGGCGAACTTCTCTGCATCCTTGATCATCCGTTCGATGTCGTCGGGCGTCAGGCGGTTCTGGTCATTCGTGATGACGATCTTTTCACGATTGCCAGTGCCCTTGTCTTCGGCGGACACTTGCAGAATACCGTTGGCATCGATCTCGAAGGTTACTTCAATCTGCGGTATACCGCGCGGCGCCGGCGGAATGCCGGTCAGATCAAACTTGCCGAGCAAATGATTGTCCTTTGTCATGGGACGCTCGCCTTCGTACACCTGAATCGTGACGGTGTGCTGACTGTCGGACGCCGTGGAAAAGATCTGAGATTTCTTCGTGGGAATGACTGTATTTCTGCGCAAATAAATGAGAAATGTCACGTTTCATCTCATCGTTTTACCACTTCGCGCGTAAATTTGACGAATTAATCAACTAATAATCCAAATATTGAAGAATTTAATGACGATCCGATAAAAACAAAGTTGTTTTTTTTTAAGTTTGCAAATTTATGTAGAAATATATTATATTAAAAAAATAATACACTGCTGTATGTATCTGCTTGAAAAAGCGCTCCCTGAATAAAACTTTTATAATTAAGATTACACACACAAAACCGCTTAGAATCATTTCGATCAATATATAATCGAAGGTATTTACCTTGGAATGAGTTTAGTCATCACACCTCCGACAGTTTCAATACCCATGGTGAGAGGATTAACATCGAGAAGTACAATAGCATCAGTGTCCTGTTCTCCGGAGAGCACACCAGCTTGTACAGCGGCACCATAAGCGACGGCTTCATCGGGGTTAATGCCCCGCGACGGTTCCTTGCCGCCAAAAAATTCCTTAACCAACTGCTGAACTTTCGGAATCCTAGTCGAACCGCCGACCAAAACAATCTCGTCTACATCTTTCTTGCTCATGTCAGAATCCTCCAGAACTTTCTGCACAGGTTTCAAGGTACTTCGGAAGAGGTCCATGTTCAGCTCCTCAAATTTGGCACGGGTCAACGTCTCGGAGAAGTCCTCGCCCTCGAAGAACGATTCAATTTCAATCCTAACCTGTAACAATTATAAATATATAATAATCGCGCTCGATAAATGAGAAAAGGCAAGAAAATATGATCGTATATATCTAAAACATGTAAATAAATATAGAAAGAAAGAGACATATACGATATACCTGATGGCTAGCACTGAGCGCTCGCTTGGCCTTTTCGACTTCGCGACGCAGTTTTTGCACAGCTCGGTTGTCCTTGCGGATATCCTTGCCCTTCTTCTTCTTATACAATTTGATGAAATGATCCATTACGCGCTGATCGAAGTCTTCGCCACCCAAGTGGGTGTCGCCATTAGTAGCGACGACCTCAAATACACCATTGTCGATGGTAAGCAGACTCACGTCGAAGGTACCGCCGCCCAAATCAAATACCAGCACGTTCTTCTCGCCATCTTTCTTGTCCAGACCGTACGCAATCGCGGCGGCAGTCGGCTCATTGATAATCCTCATTACGACCAGACCAGAGATCGTTCCAGCGTCCTTAGTCGCCTGTTTCGAAAGTCGAGCGTTATAATCAACAGAATGGATTTGTCGCGAAAACAAATATCGTTTTCTCGATATGAAATACATTAACCAGTACATAAACTTGAAGATTCAATATATGCTTGCGCTTAAGAGATATTTTTCTCTCTCTCATCACATTTCAAAACATAGATTATCAATACTACACCTGTCTTTGTGCGTCATTAAAGTAAGCCGGCACGGTGACCACAGCATGAGTGACTTTCTTGCCGAGATATGCCTCGGCGGTCTCCTTCATCTTGCCCAGCACCATAGCTGAAATCTCCTCGGGCGCGAACACCTTCTCACCCTGGCTAGTCTCGACCTTGATGTGCGGTTTACTGTTCTTCTCGATGACAGGGAACGGGAAGAATTTCACATCGTGCTGCACAGTCGGGTCCGACCACTCACGGCCGATCAACCGTTTAGCATCGAACACAGTGTTCTCCGGATTCGTCGTCAGTTGATTCTTGGCAGCGTCGCCGATCAGACGTTCACCGTCGTTGGTGAACGCCACGTAAGACGGCGTGATACGGTTACCCTGATCGTTGGCTATTATCTCCACGCGGCCGTTCTTGTAAACCCCAACGCTAAAAGGCGCGCATAATGTTTGATCAATTTGCTTGGAAAGAGAAAAGAAAAATTACGAGTCATCGTTCTCGATGGTTGCAATATCATCGCGTACTCACCAGGAATAGGTCGTACCCAGATCAATTCCTATCACCGTACCAATATCTTCCTTCTCTTTATCCTCCTTCGCGATTGTGGCGACTGAGAGCAGCCCCACCATCAGCAGTAGAGCTTTGCCTTCCTTCATGGTTTAGCGTGTAAACTTTACCTATATAATTTAACAAATTACTAATAATAATAATCATCATCATAGAATTAATGCACGGGCGAGAGTGCAATTTTTCTTTAATCTACACGAATTTCCCTATACAAACATATCACTTCTTTAGTACTAATAACTAGTATGACATTTATTAGAGATCTTAATAGTTTTTTTTTTTTATATATGTATAATTAGATTTTATCATGTAGTTCAACTATTATATATCTGTAACTTAAAATATTAATTATTAATAATTAACAAAATATAATACTTAAAATTAATAAATATTTATCAAAATAAATTTTAGTTTAACAATAAATTAAAACGATATAAAAATAAATCTTATTCGAATAAACTTCGCTTTGTAAGACGCTTCGATAAGCAACGTGTTTTCTCTCTCTTTTTTTTTTTTTTTTTTTTTTTTTTTTTTTTTTTTTCAATGGGTCTTTAGCTTTATACATTTGGTACCATATCGATACATCTGCTGACGCGTAAATGACCTTTTAATTTTCGCAAAATTGCTTCGAGACATTTCAATATGCTTCAATTTGCTCGATTAAATAGTTACATAAATTAATAAGAGATTAGTTGTTACACGACTTTCGGCTCGATAAGCGTGTCACGCGTCATCTCTTCAGAGATTCAACATATCGCAACGCATCATGACCAATGGATTGACCAAGATTATTCGCGAATGTCTTTATACAGTGGAAAGAACACGCGGAAATTTCCACGAGTTTCGACCGGAGACCGGAGACATATCGAGCGACTCGTGATCAAACGTGGCAGAAGGCTCGCGCGCAGCGATTCCCAAATATGAAGAAAAGAAGTTTGAATTAGCAAAAAACGTACAACAATAACATGCAATCGAAAAATAATCGAGAAAGATCATCGTTTTGAAATCTGCGTCAGCTGCGAGCGACAATTTACGGCAGGAGATATCTAAGATGCAAGATTCAAGATCCAAGATTCTCATGCAGAACGTTCTCGTACCAACGAGACCCGCATCGAATCCCGGTTGACGTCGGTCGATACGTCAATTTAAGCGAAGCCTCTCGAGCCGAGACGAGGTTTTGGAAGTGGAAGTGATATTCGAAATGGAGAATTCGCTTACCAACAGAATATATATCGTCGGTTTGCTCCGCCGAAAGTCCTTTGACGCGCGTTACTTGCGAAGAGAGATCCTCGATACCTCCAGCGAACGGTAAAACGATGACTGATGACGATTCCGACTCGCGGCCGGGATATTAACGGGAATATTTCGTCGTGGCCGGCGCCGATTGGCCGGCGTCGACGGAAGACGACGGCATCGATTGGTCGGACGTGCGTACAGTTGGCCGCGCCTTATTGGCCCACGTCACGATCCCATACTTTTCAGAACCTTCACCAGTCGTCGCGATTCGCCCGTGGTTGATAAGATACGGCAGACGGAACACGTGGACACCATTCCGGAGAGTTCGCGGTCTCGCTCTCGCTCTCGCTCTCGCTCTGTCTCGCATCCTCGACGTCTCACGGTTCTCTCATCGACGAGTATCGATAGTTTGCATCAGCTAAATATCGCGAGACGGGTATCTAGCATGACTATCGATATTCTTAAATAATGCTTTCACTGCAAATTCATGCGTTTAGGATTTTTTTATAGTCTAAATCTAAACTACAGTTGCAAAATTAAAGATGCGCGAAGAGAATAAATCCTTGAAGGAAATATTAAGCATATTGCTACGTATACTTGATTGATCATTCTTATCTATGCATCATTGATAATTGACAATCTGCTTTCAGATAAAGATGTTTTCTTGTAAGATATATAATACAAAAATATATAAACTTTTTTAAACTTTTCGACGAAGAAGAAACATGAATTTCGTTGGAAGAGTTATTTATAAACGAAGAAGACAGCCGAATTTTTAATAGATATTTTCAGATTTTCAGTCATTAGCATTAATGTGCGTGATAATATTGCTTTAAAAATATAAAAAGATGTCATTTTGATGTAAAATATAATACACGTATAAAAATTTTATTTGAATGTTTTCAGGATAAAAAAAATAATGAGTTTCACTGAAATAATTATTTAATGTATATTTAAATAAAGTATGATTTTATAATGTTTTGAACAAATTTTGTATGAAGTAAATAAAAATAAATCTAAATATTCCCCCCTTTTTAATCATGAGAACAAAAACCTCTGAATCTTATTCGAAAAGAAGAAGTCATGATATATTTGATGTAATTGTACTTCTATGTTTACATCATTTTTATAGAGTCGTAAAAAAATATTGTGTTTGAACACTATTGTTTTGAATTATTTTGATAATTGAGGAGATCCAGGCAACATTGCAGGAGGTTGCTTAAAACAATCACACTTCCAGGGATGCATAGAATCGTGAAAAAAACGCTGGGTTGCCCATGTCCATCAAGGGAATTACTTCGAAAGAGACTGTGAAAACTAAGATTTAGAGTAAACAATTCTTTTTTTATCGACGAATTCCCAAACTTTTGGGAAGCATTCCGCGCGCGTGCGCGCGTGTGTGTGTATTTATAATTTATTTATTTGACTTATATATATATATATATATACAATCATATGTGTATAAATATTGTTATGGGATAAAATAAAAAAGCAAAAGAATAAAAAGATTTCTGTCACATTTTTTTCTTTCCTTCGATAATTTAAAAAGAGAAATTTATTCGAAATTTATTTTATTGAAATATCTTATATATAATGGAGTTGCCATCTATTAGTATGTACCCTATTAATGTTTGTATCGTATATCTGTGTACGATTCACTTTCTAGTTATGTCTTAAATAGTCGAAATAACAAGAATGTTTTTTTTTCAGTTTATTGTACAAAATCAAACAGGCATTGTACAAGATTATATGTGAAATAAATAGCCGCGGATGAACGTGTTATTCCAGTTGTGCTTCGCGCGCACCGCGACATTCAGTGTAACGTGGTGTAACGGTATCCGCCCGTTATCTCAGGTAACAGGTAGTGAGTTAAGTGAAACGTCTGTTCGTAATAACGCACCATCTTACATCATTATTTCATTAGCATTATAACACAAAGGCACTATTTAACAAAAATGAATGATGAAATAAAATGATATCGTCGTCGATAGCGCACATTCTGTGATATAGAATTTGTAAAATTTGTCATATTAAAATTTAATCCCTTGCCAATTAAAATTTATCTCTCTGCATAAAAATTAATTTTTCCTATGATTATAACTATATTATTCATAATATTAAATAATATTATTCATCATATGCTAAATTTAATTAAAATCTGAAAATGATATTAAATAAATAAATTTTTTTAATATCATAATATTATTTATTATAATAATAATTAAGTTAGTATGATGAATAATTTTATATACATATATACATATATACTCGTGTGTGTATATATATACACACACACACACGCACACATACACATACACATATTTATATCTATATGCACTACTGAAAAAAATAGAAAACACTTTTCGCTACTTACTACGCTAAAAATTGAGCTATTTTCAAACTGCTGAAACTCGGCGAAAAAGCATTTTGAGGCATAAAGTATCAATCTTAATGTGTGTACTATAGACAGTTTTTACAAATTCTTTTATCCTTTCAATTCTGTGCCATAAAAAAGAATTTCTAAAAAATATAGATTTAGTTTCGAAATTGTGTAACTCGACTAAAAAAAATCATAGGAAAATATTTTAAAAAAAGTGTTTTGTAGACAAAATTTTATAGTTTATGTAACTTGACCTATATTTTTCGAAAAAAATTTTTTTATCGAGTGGCAGAATGTCAAAAACATGTAATTTCAAAGAACAAAACAATGTATTCCTTTTTTAAAACACAGAACAAGATAAAAAATTTTTTTTGAACCCCCTAACTGACGCGTTAGAGTTGAAACTTCAAGCTTCAAAATGCTTTTTTAATTTTTCGTCTACGATGATTTTTCGCCGAGTTTCAGCGGTTTGTAAATAGCCCAATTTTTAGCATATAAAGTGTTTCCCTTCTTTTTTTTTTTTTTTTTTTTTAAGTGTATTTATATAATTTTTAATAATTATTAGTAATTATAACTTGCTTTTCGACTGCAGCATATCCAAGATCAATGGCGTAAAATATGTTATGATACAGTCAGCACCCGCTCTTCTCATGGAAAGTAATATTTCGTTCAGCACGTTCTCCAAATTTATCGCGCCGTTTTGTGCACCATGATATAGCATGGCATATTCTCCCGACACTTGATACACAAATATAGGATATTGCGGATGTGCATCCTTCGTATGCCGTACCACGTCCAAATAAGGCAGTCCTGGCTTTACCATCAACATATCTGCTCCTTCATCTACATCTCTTGCCTTTCGAAAAAATAAAATAGCATATATTACACATATATAAAAATATCAATTTCTTCTGTGAATTTAATGTCAAGTGCAAAAAAGAAATTACAAATATAATTTTGAATATGTGATTATTATATATTTGATATATTTAAATATAATTTAACAGAATGAGATATTATACATTTATATAGATTTTAGTTTCCTTATAAATATGTCAGAAATATTATGTGAATAATGAGTGAAAAATTAATACAATAATAAGCAAAAACTTACAGCAGCTCTAGCTGCCAAACCGTTGCTACCAGGTGGCAACTGATAGCACTTGCGATCGCCGAACTTGGGAGCAGACTGCGATGCGTCCCGGAAAGGTCCGTAAAGCCCTGACGCGAATTTTACAGCATATGATAAAACTGCTACTTTATTTGAATATCCAGCAGCAGCTAGACTCTGTTTTATTGCACTTATCCTGCCATCCATCATGTCGGACGGTGCAACAATTTGTGCGCCTGTAATGGGTTACAAACATTTTTGAAGTAATTATTATATAGATAATTATATCTTAAAGAAAATTTTTAGAATGTATGAACTTTTTTTTACCAGCTTTTGCATACGACACAGCTATTTCAGCAATCCTTTGAATACTGTCTGCATTATTTATGCTACCATCGTTTTTTAGAATACCGCAGTGTCCATGAATTGTATATGGACATAAACAAACGTCACATGCTACCAATAAATTGGGAAACTTTTTTCGCAATAATGGTACAGCTTGAATAATAGGATTTCTTGCACTGTCGGCGTTGCTTCCAATTTCGTCCTAAAAAAAATTGATAGAATTTTAAAAAAAACTTTCTCATTAAATATTTAATTGCAGTTAAAAACATATAGTTAAAAATTTAGAAATTATTACAAAAAATAAAATAAGATAATTAGTATATTCCAATATATTTTTATGTTATTTCAGAGAAACTTTTTTTTCTCTCTCTTTCTATATTATTGCAATTCGTTAATATTACTTTATCAAGATGTTGCGATACGCCAAATAATAAGACAGACTGCAGTCCTTTGGCAATTAAAGGTTGCAACATGTTCTCCAACTGATTAATGCCATAACGGTATACACCAGGCATACTATTAATGGCGTCTTTATTAGTTTTCTCATCCCTAGAAATACAAAAGTCACATTTCCATAATATTGCAATTAGCAGAAATATATATACAAATGAATAAATTTTTAGATTACGCATATTTGATAGAAAGATGTATGTAGAAAATATATGTTTGCATAAATTATATTATTTAGATAGAGCAATCAGATATCATACTTACGATACGAATATAGGATACATAAGATTATTGACAGTGATCTCTATATTTGGAGATTGCCACTGTCGTAAGACAGGATGAAAAATTCCACTATGAAGAGTATGCTTAGCTGGAACCGTCGTCATTTTCATCGCTTTCCAATCTCTCCTTTGTGCTTACAGTATATATTCGCAATGACTCTTACAGCTACACGTAATGACCACTTGATTTTATCAGTGCGATACTTGGACAATCCAATGTGCAAACATGTTGTCTCAAGTAAATATGTAATATATTATCACGACTGATTATATATAAAGTCAATAGCAAGTAAAAGATTTTCTTCTTCCTCCCTAATAATGAAGAGCTGGTCAAACGCAAGACTGGCTAAATTGAGAGCTTTATGAACGTGCCATATTCAATTGGCATGGAATAACATTAGGAAATTCGTAAACGGAGCCGAGAATAATGCATAATAAGCGTGAGTAGCGTGACACGCAGAAAATTTCTCATTCCGCGCTCCAATCTACGATTTTCGCAAGTGATGTGATGTAACGCATGAAAATTGCAAAATATTTTAAACCAACGAATGAGATATGAAAAAATATTTTCTTTGTTCTCGCGTGTCATGATGCTCAATAATAATTCTTATCTCGCGAAATATATTATTATTTGTAATATATATTATTATTTGTAATCGCGCGCAACCGGCGATTTTAGATATTTCGCAAAGATTGTATCAAAACTCGACCAATCGGAGCAAAAAGGGAAGATAGTTTTCCGCGTTCCGATTGGCTGCGCCATCACGATTTCACGCTGATAGTCCAAACATATAATATTTTCGAACATAGCAGGGGTGCGTTCCGTTTCACGCATTGAGCGCATAAATCGCCTGGAAATCTATAATATATGTTACGTGAACTATAGATTTCCAGGCGATCTATGCGCTCAATGCGTGAAACGGAACGCACCCCTGCTATGTTCGAAAATATTATATGTTTGGACTATCAGCGTGAAATCGTGATGGCGCAGCCAATCGGAACGCGGAAAACTATCTTCCCTTTTTGCTCCGATTGGTCGAGTTTTGATACAATCTTTGCGAAATATCTAAAATCGCCGGTTGCGCGCGATTACAAATAATAATATATATTACAAATAATAATATATTTCGCGAGATAAGAATTATTATTGAGCATCATGACACGCGAGAACAAAGAAAATATTTTTTCATATCTCATTCGTTGGTTTAAAATATTTTGCAATTTTCATGCGTTACATCACATCACTTGCGAAAATCGTAGATTGGAGCGCGGAATGAGAAATTTTCTGCGTGTCACGCTACTCACGCTTATTATGCATTATTCTCGGCTCCGTTTACGAATTTCCTAATGTTATTCCATGCCAATTGAATATGGCACGTTCATAAAGCTCTCAATTTAGCCAGTCTTGCGTTTGACCAGCTCTTCATTATTAGGGAGGAAGAAGAAAATCTTTTACTTGCTATTGACTTTATATATAATCAGTCGTGATAATATATTACATATTTACTTGAGACAACATGTTTGCACATTGGATTGTCCAAGTATCGCACTGATAAAATCAAGTGGTCATTACGTGTAGCTGTAAGAGTCATTGCGAATATATACTGTAAGCACAAAGGAGAGATTGGAAAGCGATGAAAATGACGACGGTTCCAGCTAAGCATACTCTTCATAGTGGAATTTTTCATCCTGTCTTACGACAGTGGCAATCTCCAAATATAGAGATCACTGTCAATAATCTTATGTATCCTATATTCGTATCGTAAGTATGATATCTGATTGCTCTATCTAAATAATATAATTTATGCAAACATATATTTTCTACATACATCTTTCTATCAAATATGCGTAATCTAAAAATTTATTCATTTGTATATATATTTCTGCTAATTGCAATATTATGGAAATGTGACTTTTGTATTTCTAGGGATGAGAAAACTAATAAAGACGCCATTAATAGTATGCCTGGTGTATACCGTTATGGCATTAATCAGTTGGAGAACATGTTGCAACCTTTAATTGCCAAAGGACTGCAGTCTGTCTTATTATTTGGCGTATCGCAACATCTTGATAAAGTAATATTAACGAATTGCAATAATATAGAAAGAGAGAGAAAAAAAAGTTTCTCTGAAATAACATAAAAATATATTGGAATATACTAATTATCTTATTTTATTTTTTGTAATAATTTCTAAATTTTTAACTATATGTTTTTAACTGCAATTAAATATTTAATGAGAAAGTTTTTTTTAAAATTCTATCAATTTTTTTTAGGACGAAATTGGAAGCAACGCCGACAGTGCAAGAAATCCTATTATTCAAGCTGTACCATTATTGCGAAAAAAGTTTCCCAATTTATTGGTAGCATGTGACGTTTGTTTATGTCCATATACAATTCATGGACACTGCGGTATTCTAAAAAACGATGGTAGCATAAATAATGCAGACAGTATTCAAAGGATTGCTGAAATAGCTGTGTCGTATGCAAAAGCTGGTAAAAAAAAGTTCATACATTCTAAAAATTTTCTTTAAGATATAATTATCTATATAATAATTACTTCAAAAATGTTTGTAACCCATTACAGGCGCACAAATTGTTGCACCGTCCGACATGATGGATGGCAGGATAAGTGCAATAAAACAGAGTCTAGCTGCTGCTGGATATTCAAATAAAGTAGCAGTTTTATCATATGCTGTAAAATTCGCGTCAGGGCTTTACGGACCTTTCCGGGACGCATCGCAGTCTGCTCCCAAGTTCATAATATATGTTACGTGAACTATAGATTTTCAGGCGATCTATGCGCTCAATGCGTGAAACGGAACGCATCCCAGGTATCGATCATGTAATATTTTCCCTAGGGCGGAAACGCGAAAAGTGTAAAATATTAGCATTGAAATTAATGGGAAAATTTTTCACTTTTCACTTTTCCCCTAAGGCGGAAAAGTGAAAAATTTTTTCATTGATTTCAATGCTAATATTTTTCATTTTTCAAGTTTTCGTTCTAGGGAAAAAGTTACATGATCGGTACCCAGAGCGATTAACGACGTCATTGCTTCGTCTCTGCCAATAAAAAACTTGAATTCATAGTAAAATATAGTGATTAATTGATCCGGGTTGGGTTAACCTGTTCATTCGAAAACGCTATATGTTATTGGCTCTCGCGGCCTTTCGCAATGCATCATGGGTTGTGCAAGTAAATACATACATTAAGGCCGGTATTCATAGTCCGTTCTTATATTTAAGATCGTCTTAAGATCCCCTTCAACCAATGAAATGGCCGCATAACATCTTAAAACCGTACTTAAGATGATCTTAAATATAAGGACGAACTATGAATACCGGCCTAAATCTGCTTTTATATAACCTTACCTCTATCTATTCTCATTGGCTGCGGTCGGGAAGACGCTAGAAATGCTTTCAAGCATTGCATTAATCAATCAGAATAAATAAATCTTTATTTTTTTTTTTGGCCTGATTGGGCAATTAATTGCTTCGAAGCATTTCTAGAGTCTTTCCGACCGCAGCCATTGGTCGCGTTCAGCAGAGAAAACCGCTTAGTAGCAAACGAATGTGATTGGTACTCTGCTGAACGCGGCCATTGTCAAAGCAATGGGCGCGTTCGGCAGAGAAAGCGCTCAGTTATTGTCTTGTCAACACTCGACGTTGATTCGTTGATTCTAAAAGTAAGAGCCAATCACGTTCGATTACTACTGAGCGGTTTTCTCTGCTGAACGCGCCCAATGTTTATGGCGTGTCCTAACTTAAAGCCCGGTCTACATAGGACGCAACACGCCAGACGCAAGCAAAATCGACCAATCATAGTCGAATATTCTCGGAATAATCTACTGTGATTGGTCGATTTTGCTTGCGTCTGGCGTGTTGCGTCCTATGTAGACCGGGCTTTACACAACCCAACCCTAATCCTAACTTGATCTAACCCGATCTAACCTAGACAACCTAGACAACAGTTGGCTGTCTTCGGCTACCCTCTAGTCTATCCCTACCTGCGTACCTGCTGCCATTAATATAGTCTCTCGCGAGGTCTCACGAGAGTAGCATAGCGCCTTAGCGATGACGGACGCGTCGGGCTTACCGGGCGCTACTATGGGTCAGAGAGCAATGTCGAGGCTGTTGCGGCAACGGGCCGAAGAGTTTCTCGCCTCGCGGAAACACGCCAAAGGAGCCTTGGAAGACATAATCGGCCATTGGGACGTAAGTGCAAAGCCGCTAACATAAGTCGGACTTGCGTTTTCGGTGTTATCTGTTCGTGATTAAGAGATGTCGCTGAAGAATTCTCACCTTTCTTCATTCATAGGAGTCCACCCACTCATGCCTGCTAACGATAGAAACGATATTCGTCAAGATACTGAAACGCGGCGATATGTACCTCGAACGTTCGATAACTCTTACCATTTCGGGTGAGTCTAAAGAAAAAAATGTAATTGTTGGTGATCCGACCAGTCTTTTTATATCAGTCGCAAGATGAGAATAAAAATTATAACGAGTATCCTATATATTTATTATATATTTATAATATCCAAAAAATTTTTCTACGTATCTGAGATTTATATTCTAACATACTGTATGTGAAATAGAACCTAGTCCCGAATCGCACTATGTAACTTGGCTCAGAGATCGCTACGAGGAAGTTTGGAAAAAGATACTAGCATCTATAGAAAAGTGTCGATCGACCATTCAATTGCAAGCCCTTAGAACTGCGATAAAATTGTTGACGGAAGAGGGTAAAGCGTCGTTGGAGCCACGCGACCAATCAGGTTATCACTTTCCTCACTTTCGTCTGAGGCTTATCCTCATGAAGCTGCTTTCATCTCAAAAGGACAATACAAATTTAATATCGAGATTCCAAGAGATCACCGAATATCCCGATGTTTTGTACTATACGTGGAAATGTCTACCCTCTCTTACCCTAAAGGGGCAACCGCAAGAAATTTATATTAAGAATTTATTGGAACTTATAGATAAAATACCACTGCCAAAAGAAGAAGAAGAAGAAGGTACGCTTCCTCTTTTGAGATTTACGCATTGTCTTTGATAACTATATAAAAAGTTATATACATGTAATTTAGTAGAATTTCTTAGCTCTCCCTATATTCTTAAGTTCCTATTCTTTTTTTTTTATTTGATATCTGTATATTTTTATACACAAAATAAAATTGGACAAAACTTGAATATTTCAGAATCTAAAGTATCGGATAATAAGGAGTTTCTGTGTGGATCACAAGATAATGAAATATTCCACATTATCGCTATTTATAACATTTTTCATCTCATTAGTATTTAACATAGTGTTGCTTTACTTTTCTTTCTTTTTTTAAATCAGATACTACATTCACGTGGGATCAGTCGACCGTTAAGCGTGCGTTAAACAAAGTCTGGGGCTGCGTTATGCATTGGGAACTGACGCCGCAGTTACACGAGCAATTGTTACTGGTCTTGCTGGAACGAGTCATGCCACATCTAGAAAAACCGATATTATTGACAGACTTCTTAATGGACTCCCTAGATGTGGATGGTCCTATCGGCGTGCTAGCTTTGCAAGGTGTATTTGTACTGGTCACCAAGCATAATCTAGAATATCCAAAGATTTTCACCAAGCTGTATTCGATGTTTGAACCAGAGATTTTTCATACAAAGTATAAAGCTCGTCTGTTTTACTTGTCTGATCTGTTTCTCAGCTCGACGTAAGTATCCTACACTCTCAAAAATAAAATTTGAGCAAATTGCATTCTATTTTTTTAGAACTAATAGAAAGATTTGTAAAACAAAGAACCCTTTTCAAATATTATGGAAAATTATTTACAAACTTGAGGTGTTTCTATTCTTTCAGACATTTACCGGAAGCATTGGTAGCGGCATTTGCGAAGCGACTCGCACGTCTAACGTTAGTCGCGCCGCCGGAGGATATCCTAATAATCCTCCTCTTCGTGGGTAACCTGTTGCTACGACATCCGGGATTAAAGAGATTGATCGACCATCCACAGGGCGGCGAAGTCGCCTCTGGTGCAGGTGATCCGTTCCTCATGGAAGAACGCGACCCGTTACTGAGTAACGCGTTGCTCAGTAGTCTGTGGGAGATCCGAGCGTTGCAATGGCATATTCTTCCCAGCATCGCCAGTGCAGCACGTTTCATTCGAGAGCCGCTGCCCTCGGTTGAGTATGATATGGCGTCTGCGTTGGAGCGTACCGGTGGCCATCTTTTCGACCGCGAGTTGAAAAACAAGGTCAGAGAAATCATGTTGACATTCGAAAGACCAAACTCCATGGCGCTGTCGAGAGGAGAGAAACTGCTGCAATATTGGCAACTCACGAGCACGCATTGATCCCTTCCTTCTACACGCAGCGTGATCGCCAGAGTGCAATATACGTGAGTGAGAAGGCGTCATTGTCAAGCCTCGCGATTCAGATGAAAAATAGACATTTTGCGTTTTATACAACGTATCAATGACGAGCGAAAGACGCGGCAGTGTATTTTTCCGCGGTGTTGAACATCTGTGCTTAAAATAACGAGTTTGTACGTAATTTCGATTCGCACAAACGAGAAAAAGCTGCTTTTCGTTATTCATCTGAATTATACGTAATACGATAATTTATATATTTTATGCGTAAACTATTTTGTGAGACTTTCTTATACCATTCAACTCTTTCACTGTGTTCCTTGTACAACTTTAATAAAAATTGCTGCTGCCTTGTTACAGCAAACTTTTTGTCAAACTTGCCTAGATAAAGTAGAAAGTCAACATATCGTAGGGACTTTGACATATCATTGGTTTTTATATCTTACACATATAACAACGCAAGAAGAACGGGAATATATAGATATCGATTTAGCTAACATCAGCAACCGCGGTAATCTTCTGTTTCGACGTAATTGACACATTTAATTTCACTACAATGGTAAATGATTTACAAAAAAGGACTATAGTTATTCTTTATTTTTATAGTTTAAACTTTAAAATATAAACATCGAAACGTAACGCCGTGCAATAGAGTCTGTATATAAACGCAAAACTTAATGTGTGTTGCATAATATGATTTGGTTTATTTATGACATTCTAAACACTTTATTGATAAATTATAAAGATAACACTATATAATTTATTTTTTGACAATTATTGATCGATGACGAAAAAGACAAGAAACATTTTTGTTTATATTGAAATATTTTTTTATTGAAATCGGGGGGAGGGGAGAGGAGAGGAAGGGAGGTACAGGGAGAGAGAGAGAAGAATTGAAGTAAACTAACCCGTTGCTTATTCGGCATATTTCAAAACAGAATTTGTATATAGAGTTACTTGTTATAATTTTAATGTTTTGAAGAGATAAATCAAAACTTTTAAGCGGCGCAGTAAAAGAGTTGAATTTCGTTCCTTCCATATTGCGAAGGCAATAAAGTAACGAAATAAAACCGTGCATGATTCAATCTGACATTCTAAATAATTTGCATAATTTGCAAAATCCACATATAAAACACTATATCGATTACATTGATTTAGCCTTCGTGAATAGTGAATATGATATTTGTATGCGCGCGTGAAATACAAGATAATAAACTGAGAATATTTTAATTTAACACAAAATAATTGTATAAACTTACTTTCTCACAAAGTGAGAACATTCTTGATATTGTATACAAAGATTCATATTCATGTGACACATAGGCAAGCATAATATCAGGATTCAATTTTATTTATAATCTATTCTCTCGAATCTATTACATCACGTGAAATTAATTTACATTGTTAGAGATTAGGCATATACATACATACATACATACATACATACATACATACATACATACATACATACATACATATATATATATGTATGTATGTATGTATATTATTTTTGTCATTAGCCTTGTTCTTGATACACATGTCACCAAATGTTTCTATACATTTGTGCCTTGCTGCAAATTGTCTTTTGTATGTATATACAAATACTTTTATGTACATCAGTAAATCTATAAGTTATTACTTCGATAATATCATGTATAATGTCGCTTTGTGTCCAATATCTGGAAAAAAATGCAAGATATTAATTTTTGCTTAATTGGGTATTCTATTCAATTACGGGTCAAGTAATAAAACTGTATTTATCCATACTAATGTACAATTATTCAGATATTGTAAAAGTTTTAACAGTCAAAACTGAAAGCAAACTATGCAGTAATCTCCAAATATTTGGTGCAGTATAATGCAACATTTTACTGCAATGAAAGAATCTTTCTTCATAATAATTATTGTGTAAAATTAATGTTTAGAGTTCTTCGAGAAACTGTTTTTTCATCAGAATTATATACAAGTTAAATTATTAAGCTGTTATAATACTTATTTTATATCGAATTGATAATGAAGTAATGATGGACATTGCTCCTGACATTGGAAAAACTATCTTTATATATATATATTTTTTTTTTATATTACTTATTACATATATTTTTTATCTCTCATACTTTGTACACACACTCTCGTGCTTATAAAAAATATTTGTCTCAGGGCAAAGATGCGCTCACCTGAACCAATTGTCGCCACTCTTCCTCATTCAGGGCTTGCTTTATTTTCACGAGAATGTTCGCCGGAATATCGGCGGATGTTGTGATTGACGTGACATTTTGTGTGGTGGGTACATACTGCACCTGCAACAATTGCGACACCGTGGGTCTCGCTTTCGGATCATGCTGAAGGCACTTCCGCATCACATCGATCAGAACGGGCGGCGTGCGCTCGTGATCCTGAAGATCCTTGCCGCTCGCCGGAAAAGAGAACGTTGTGGCCGGGAACAAAATGTTCGGTTTCGGATTAGTTATGGCGTTCACCTTTGCCCATTGGGAACGTATGTGTTGGAACGGTGTGTGACCATACACTAGACTGTACAGTATGCACCCCAGTGACCATACATCCGACTTGAAACTTATCTGTCAAAAAATTACTTTTCAGCAACTTATGAATTTTTAACTTAAGTCGAACTACGAATATCGCGAGTTATCAATTTTTTTGTTCAATTATTAAGCTAATTTGGTTTTAATTAATAAGTAATTATAATATGTTTTTCTAGGCATTACTTTAAATGTAATAAGAAAAAAGGCATCTTTATCTCGAATTATTTATTTGTTACTTTTGCTTCACCTTGTATTTGACATTGTGTGTAGGCGAATCCGTCTTGCTACCGATGTCCATCAGGGCTTCTGGACTGATGTAATTCAATGTTCCAATTGTATTACTTTTCAGAACAGATGTCATGTCAGAATTTACACTGGAAGCGATGCCAAAATCTATCAACTTGAGACGGCCGCGTACTAGTAAAAAATTTCCCGGTTTTAAATCCGAGTGTATGACTCCTGAAATGCAGAAGCCACATATTTATTTATAGGGCGAAACATGATCGCTTACGTTTAATTAATTAAAGTATTATATATATTCACACCATTATCGTGTATGTGTCTTACAGCGGTGAGCATCTCGTTCCAGTAATACAGAATCATTGTGAGAGAAATTTGCTTCTCCTGAGACATGGACTTGAGAAGTCTGCTGAGATCGGTGTCACCCATTTCCATCACCACAAAAACCATAGACCCTCTGATTTCACTGAAACAATCGAATTAAATTAACGAACATTGTTAAAGGCATTAATGTTTCGTTAACATTATCGTCCGTCGAATTCCTCTCAGAAACGCGTTCTCGCGCAATCGAGATAATTGCTATCTTTGAATATATCTGATATTCTGCACATCTGTAATGTAGTAATGTATACTTACTAGTCAAACATTCTGACGACGCAGGGCGCCTGTAACTTACGCAGCATGGAGATCTCGTCCAAGCAGCCCTGGGCCGACTCTTTGTCCATCTTGCTCAAGTCAACGCATTTGATTGCGCGTAATTCGCCGAAAGATATATCCTGCACTCGCAGAACCTCGCCGCTCATTCCATGACCAAGAGAGCCCAGGATAAGATACTCTTTGTCCTTCACGTGTAACGTTTTGCCTTGTCGTTGCGGAGGTATGCTCGACGGTATGGTAAACTGCATGTTCGCCACTCTATCTACGATCTGCTGCGCCTCTTCGCGTTTCTTCTCGTGAACCGAATAACGCTCGTGCGAGTTTTTGCATTCCGAAACGATCCCGTAATCTTCCTCGCTATGCTTGTTCAGGATTTGCAAGGAATCCAAGGAATGTTTTAGGCCCGTATCAGACCCAATTATCACATTTCGTTTAATTTCGTTTTTACTCGACACAGTTTTTGTGCTACTTGCTAGCAATGTGTCGGGCATATTGGCGAACTGTTTGTTGTTCTTCGTTTCTTCGGTAGGTTTCGCAAATTTGGGATCTGAATGCAATGACAACTTAACGTGACAACAAAATAAGATATTTAATAATTTAATTATTATATTTAATTTGAACGCGCTATTAATGCGCTTACCATTATGATAATTCATTTCTGTCTGCATCAGCAATTTTGCATCCAGTTTCTTGTTCCGATCTTCCTGTTGTAATTCGGATGCGACGGTCTTTGTTTCGGCACATGCGTGCAACGTAGCGGACGGCTTTGATTCCAAAGGATGAACTATTGAAGAATCGCCATATGCTGACATAGCGTCCGCTAAAGGCCGTCTCACGTTCTTTGCATTCAATCTGAAGAAAACAAAAATCAATTATCATCGGTGTTCTGTGATCTGCGTTCAAATCCGTTAGAAAGAATCACGGGGTATTCTGGACATGGGAAATGCGATGAAAATTTAATTTTCCAATCAAATTGACAAAAAGTTCATTTATTACAATAATATTTATTTCGGTAATATGTTTATAAATTAAATATATTTTTTATCAGAGAGAGAAATAAATAATATTAGTTAAATATTATGTTTTTTTCCAAAGCGCACAATCGTAAAATGGTTCTCACAAACCTCGCGGAGTCCGGCTTCTCTACAATAGGCGTACAAATTGTATTTTTAGATATTTGCACGTGGTCCTTTGCAATGAAGTTCTTTTCCTCCAATAGTGCGTTATTGTAACACCAACTGGACAATATAGTAGAAGGAGTCTGAATGTGACTTTTGCTTAAATTATCAGACAATTTACTCTGCGGGGACCGAAACAGTTGTTTATGCGATGCGCATGAATTCGGATGCACCGAACCGACTGGCAGATGTTTCAACGGAGTTTCCAAAACTAAACGATTAATCGGAGTAGGTAACGATGTTCGCTGAATTTCGTTCAGTGAGGGTGTACTTAGTTCCATGTGTGTGCACGGGTTTTTCGCTGGTGTACACTTTTCGTTCGCTTCGTACTTAGAAGTGCTGTATTGTGAATTGTTGTATGTTACAGGATGTATCAAATTCCCGGACAAGTTTTGAGATATACAGCTAGCGGATTCCGATATGGCGGTTGGCATCTTGTGAGGCTCCTCGTTACAATCCTTATTCGCCTGGTCGTTAAAACCATATAGCACTCCTTTATACCGCTGGTCCTCCTTGTTTAAATTCAATATTTGCTCTGCATCGCTATTCCAATGCAGTATTTTATTATCAACCAATGTGCTATATGATTGTTCCTCCTTTCTCTTATTTAACATATCGGATATGTAAATATTCTCGAGATTCGATCGAGCACTGTTTATTGTAGGTTGCAGGTTCTTATTCATATCAGACTTTGCAATGTAATCTCCTTTGCCAGGTATCAATGATGACAGAGGTAAGGCCACTTCCATCGAGTAGTTATGAACAACACCAGTTTGGCTCCTCGAGGAGGCAAATGTGCAGCTATGATAGTCCTGTGAATTATCCTCCTGTTTGAAGCCACAAATTCTTAGTTTATTCGAATCGTCAGCTAGCAGACAACCTTTGAACTTTACATCGTCTTTGCATTCTTCCTTATTGCTCGCACAGTTTATTTTTTGTATGGAAAAAGTGTCAATCACATTTGCACAACTATCCCTTGGCAATACGCACGTAGTTCTCGAGAGCCCGTCTGTTGAACCAATCGAGGGATTAACGTCTGCTGTTTCATGTACACGCGATTCCCACAGTACATCTTCAGCAGAATCATTTGGCGCTTCATCCAAATCTGACTCGTCTTCCGACTCGCGGGGTTTCTCCTCGCTTTCGTCGTCATCATCATCTTCGTCGCTCTCACACAAATACAAGAGGCGTACTGGTTGAGACTTTGGTAGTGTAACTGGCACTTTGCCAGTGTTTGTGCTACTAGAACTGTGACTGTTGTTTCCCACAAGATCTGACATTATCGATAGTCTTCAAAGAACAAATGTTATCAACCTGTAAAAAAAGAAATATTATGTTTTAGCAATATTCAAAATATGCATTATTCTATCAGATACAGCTGTTTTATGAAAAAAACCAGGGTTGGGTAGTAACTAGTTAAACAGTTAAAAGTTAAGTTAAAAAGTTGAATATGTTAGTAACTTTTAACTTGACTTAATTAATTTTAAAATGTTAACTTTTAACTTAAATTAATTATTTTTAAATGCATTAACGTTAACTTATAAACCTTTTTGTGCAAGTTAAAATAATTCATCAATATTAAAGTTGTGTGAAAATGGTTGTTCGTAATGCGTATATTTCATTTGTCGTACAACAGGTTTGTCGAATGTGTCGATTCATTGTTGGATAGAGAATTAATTTTTAACTTTAAGGAGTTAATAATTTTTTAACTTAATTTTTTAACTTAACTTTAACTGAGTTAATTTTTGTTTAAGTAACTTTTAACATCAACTTAGTTACTTTTTGAGGCATTAATTTTGAACTTAACTCAGTTAAAAAAAAAATTAACTTATCCAATACATGGGAAAAACATAAATATTTGAAGAAAATAAAAAGAAGCTAAATGCTACAGCAATCAGTACATAATCTTCTGATTATTAATTTACTTTTATATTGTAAAGACACGATTGTTTCGATTAATACATACAGCACAGAAATTATATA